GGCGGCGGCGGCGGGGGGCCGCTGGGGCTGGAGCTGGGGCGGATCCAGGAGCCCGCGGGCGGGCCCTACTCGCCGCCGCCTTCCTCCTGCTCGCGGCAGGCCTGGAGCCGGGACAACCCGGGCTTCGAGCCGGAGGAGGCGGCGGGGCCGGTGCTGCAGATGGAGATGGACGTGGAGTGGGGCAGCCGCGGGGCCGGCTCCTCCTCCGGCGCCAGCAGCGCCCGGGGCCCGGCCGGGGAGCCTGACAGCGGCCGGCGGCGGCGCCGGCGGGGGGAACGCGGCGTGGGGGCGGCTCCGTGTCCCAGCCCCGCCGGGGGGGACCCGCTGGCCCCACACCTGCCCCCGGACGGGGCCCCTCCGTCCCATCGCACCGCATGGGCCAAGAGGCTGGCGCGCCGCTTGCGAGGTAGGAGCCAGCCCCGCTCTACATCCCCCTCCCCCCCAGGTTCTGCCCCCCCCGCCCCATGGGCCCCCCGAGGTGCTGGGCCCCCCGAGGTTCTGCCCCCCCATGGGCTGGGTCCCCCCCCGGTTCTGTCCCCCCCCCTGCCCCATGGGCTGGGTCCCCCCCAGGTTCTGCCCCCCCTCCTGCCCCATGGGCTGGGTCCCCTCCAGGTTTTGCCCCCCTCCTGCCCCAAGGCCTGAGACCCCCCAGCTTCCTCACATTCAGTCCCTTAAGCCCTCCTACCTGGTCACCCCCCTGCTTCGAGTCCTTGCCCCTGTGCTGGCCATTTGGAACCTTGTACTCCATTCCCCCACGCTCTGTAGAGCTCAAGCTCGTCCCTCTTTTCCTCCTTTCACTCCCATGTTGACCCCCCACACACACACACACTCATACTCCTGTTCACAACCTCAGCCCCTTATTTTAAACTGTCCTAGCTCTTTGCCTTTCTTGCCTGTGCCGCTTCTCCCAGATTGTCAGTTGCAGGGGATGCTTTGTAGGGCAGAGATCACACTGAGGAAAGGTAGGTCAGGCTGCACCCAGGATTTGCAATTGTATATGTGACCTTTTCTGGAGGCACAGGGCCCTCTACCCTGACACCAAATCTCTGAGTGACCTTGGGCCAAGTTGTTTCATCTCTCTGCCTTAGGCTCCCCATCTATATAATCAGATTGATGGGTACTTACCAGACAGAGGTGGTGTTGCGATTAATTACCTTTTTGTACAGTCCTTTGAAGTGCTGCCTAGCTGCCCAGTGTTGTCATTAGCTGCCAAAGTAAAAAGGCACTGTTGATACACAGTTGGCTTATATACATCATCTATTTGTTACAGTAGTCTCAGTGGCCCACTGTAGTCCTATTGCTAAAAAAAATTGGCATTGCAGAGATGCTCACTGGGGTCCAGTTTTGTGGGGGAGAAGGCATGGGCAAATGCCCCACACTGTTTTTGTTTTTCTTGTTTTTTACAGTTGCATAACGTCAATATTCGTAAAAATTAAAAGGCTTCGGTATTTTAGACAGGATTTTTCTTCATTTCAAAGAAAATCTTTGTAACTGTAAAAGTGAATGGTGAATGGAGTGAACCACTTTTTCTATAAAGTTTGCAGCTAGATAGATAATCTGAACTGGTGCAAACTGGCAAATATTAGCTGACAAGAAGTGAACAAGTCTATCAAACTGTATTCAGTTTCAGGCCTGAGGTTTGCAAATCGGACAGTTGCTTGTCCATTTATCAATGGCATCCCCAAAAAATTTTGATGTAAAAATATTCTGTGAATTGAGCCATCTCATGTCAAAATAAATGCACTGTATTTTTTTTTATTATTTATTTGGATGTGAAAGTCAAAAGTGCACTGTTTCAGGTATGCAGCATGTACACTCTGCATAAATTTTTGTGAAAGGTTGCACAATGAAATAAGTTCCTGTTTCGTGGTGTGAGATTGAAAAGTGGACGGTAGTGCTTGATTACTGTATATAAAAATAATTATTGTTGTCTGATGGCTTTAAAGCCTTTAACATTGTTCCTTGAATGTAATCTGTTATCTGTGTGTGCCTAGCTAGTGCTTGGAAAAGGAGCTGGCTTGACAGATGTAGAAAGTGAAGTCCTTTTTTTTAAACCAAGAAACAGGTACAGCCTAGGCAACGGTAATAAGTTTCCCATACTCCCGTTCCGATATACTTCGCCATGTTTGTCTACATTTAAAAAATTGTCTGAACATGACTGCAAGCACTTGAATTAGATGACACAATACTGACCATGACTTTGTGATGATCACAGTGTTGTGTTATCTCATTTAATACTGTTGGCTCAATTGTGGTATGTGAAACAGTATTGAAAACAGTCAACACTACACTGGTATGATCAATGCTAGCATTAGAACAGTTTTCAATACTGGTTTGTGGAACCTGTTGATGAAAATGATTGACTGTACAAAAAACCACTTTCAGCAGCAGTTCATCTTTTAGTGTAGATCCAGCTTTTGTCCCCGACTAGCTTAAAAAGACATTTTATTCCTCTGCTAGTCCTCGGAACTATCCAGTTACCTTAATACAATTTTTTAATGATTGACCACTCCACACTGGGAAAGGAAGACATTGCCTGCTGGACAGTTCAAACTTTGTCAGTGTATGCCCTCAGGAAATCTGTTTTTTAAAATACTCAATGATCCTACTGTACTACAGTTGAACTGGTTTTAGAACAAGTGGGAATATTTTTTTGGACAAGTCCTTCCACTGACTTGTACCACAGGGAGCTGGGCCTGAAGTGAAATTAGCATCTTCTGAGAGGAAGAAGTTGTCAGGAGAAGAGACTGCAAGATATGATTCTGTCAGCCAGGCTGTCCGGGAGATCAGTCTAACACAATTTTCTCAGGCAAAATAAGCAATTGGAAGGTGGTGCACCTCAGTCATTTAAAATTTACCTTTTTTTTGTGGTGCAGGCCCACCTTGAATCACCTGATCCTCTTGCACGCTGTCTGCTGGTGACTGATTTAGTTCTCTTTATGCTATTGGGTGTGATGTCACTAATAAAGTGCATGCTTTGTGGAAACTGGTGGGCCTACATTTTATGGTTTTGCAAGATAAGAAAATAAAAGGTAAAATTTTAAATTACTAGTGTGCTCAATATGTCCTCTAGCTGCTTGGGGCATTCTGCATATATGGATAGTGTTTTACTTTGTCAGTGTACTTTGTCATGTTCATGTCCCTTTTGGAAGTAAAATGGTTTTGTTTGACCAAGTCTGAAATGTTAAGGTACAGATTGAAGGATGCTTACTACAGATAAACTGAACACCTTTATTTCAAGGCCCAGTGAAATTCACTGCAGCATAACTTAAGGAACTATTCAATCTAGAATTGGAAAAACACACACTTATTTTTGAAGTTTCATGGAGAACAGGGATGTCACTGAAGAACGGAAAATGTAGTACTTACTTTGTGTTAAAAGATTTTGTATGTTTAAATATGAAGTCAGTTATGCTGCAAAAGCATTAGCAGTGTGTTTTAAGTGTTGGTACATGCAAACCAGAGCATTAGATTAAGAAGATTCTCTGCAGTATCTGATGCATTGTTAGAGTAAATAAACTGGTAACCGGAAGCACAGAAGATAATAAGTAGAGGCCTACCAAATTCATGGCCATAAAAAACACGTCATGGACTGTAAAATCTGGTGTCCCCCCGCTACCCTGTGAAATCTGGTATTTTGTGTGCTTTTACCCTATAGTATACAGATTTCATGGGGGGAGACCAGCGTTTCTCGAACTGGGGGTCCTGACCCAAAAGGGGGTTGCAGGAGGGTCACGGTATTGCCACCCTTACTTCTGTGCTGACTTCAGAGCTGGGTGGCTGGAGAGTGGTGGATGTTGGCTGGGTGCCCAGCTCTGAAGGCTGCACCCCGCCCGCAGCAGTGTGGAAGTAAGGGTGGCAATACCATACCATCCTTACTTCTGTGCTGCTGCCTTCAGAGCTGGGTGACTGGAGAGTGGTGGCTGCTGACTGAGGGCCCTGCTCTGCAGGCAGCTGTGCAGAAGTAAAGGTGGCAATACCATACCATGCCATCCTTACTTCTGTGCTGCTGCTGGCAGCGGCTCTGCCTTCAGAGCTGGGCTCCCAGACAGCAGCCGCTGCTCTCCAGCTGCTCAGCTCTGAAGGCAGTGCCGCCACCAGCAACAGCGCAGAAGGAAGGGTAGCAGTATCGCAACCCCACACACACAATAACCTTGCGACCCCCCCACCCCCCAAACTCCTTTTTGGGTCAGGACCCCTACAATTACAACACCGTGAAATTTCAGATTTAAAAAGCTGAAATCATGAAATTTACTATTTTTAAAATCCTATGATCATGAAATTGACCAAAATGGACCATGAATTTGGTAGGGTCCTAGTGATAAGGAGTAGTCATAATGGGTTAAGAACATAATGGCCATGCTGCCTCAAACCAATGATCTGTCTAGCCCAGGGGTTCTCAAACTTCATTGCACCCCGACCCCCTTCTGACAAAAAAAAAAAAAATTACTACATGACCCCAGAGTGGGGACAGAAGCCTGAGCGCTGCCACCCTGGGGCAGCCGGAACCCGAGCCCTGGGCGGCGGGGTGAGTAGGGGGGCAAAGCTGAAACCCAAAGGCTTCAGTCCCAAGTGGGGGGCCTATAGCCTGAGCCCCGCTGCCCAGGGCTGAGGCCGAAGCCTGAGCCCCGCCACCCAGGGCCGAAGCCCTGGGGCTTCGGCCCTGGGTGGTGGGGCTCAGGCTTTGGCCCCCAGCAAGTCTACAGCCAGCCCTGGTGACCCCATTTAAACCGGGTCACAACACACTTTGGGGTCCCGACCTACAGTTTGAGAACCGCTGGTCTAGCCCAATATCCTGTCTATGACTGGCTAGGGCTAGATGCGTCAGCGGGAAGAAACAACATGGCAATTATCAAGTGATCCATCCTCTGTGGTCCAGCCCCAGCTTCTGGCAGTTGGAGGTTTAGGAACAACTGGAGCGTGGGGTTGTGTTTCTGGCCATATTGGCTAATAGCCACTGATAGACATATCCTCCATAAAGTTATCCAGTTCGTTTTTGAACCCAGCCTTTTGACCTTCACAACATCCCCTGGCAACAAGTACCATAGGTTGATTGTGCATTTGTAAAGAAGTACTTTCTTATGTTTGTTTTAAACCTGCTGCCTGTTAATTTCAACAGGTAACCCCTTGCTCTTGTGTTATGTGAAGGGGTAAATAACACTTCCCTATTCACTGTCTCCACACCATTCATGGTTTTATCATATTGCCCCTTAGTTGTCTCTTTTCTAAGCTGAAAAGCCCAGTTTAATCACTTCCTTATCACTCCTTGTATGGAAGCTGTTCCATACCCCTAATCATTTTTGTTGCCCTTTTCAATTCTAATTTCTCTCTTTTGAGATGGGGCGACCACAACTGCACCGAATATTCGAGATGTGGGTGTGTCCTGGATTTATATAATGTCATCACATTTTCTGTCTTATTGTCTATCCCTTTTCTTATGGTTCCCAACATTCTGTTAGCTTTTTTGGCTGCCACTGCACATGGAGCAGATGTTTTCAGAAAACTATCTACAGTGACTCCCAAGATCTCTTTCTTGAGTGGTAATATCTAATTTAGACTCCATCATTGTATGTATGATTGGGATTATTTTTTCCAATGTGCATTACTTTGTACTTATTAGCATTGAATTTCATCTTCCTTTTTATTGCCCACTCACCCAATTTAGTGATATCCCTTTGTAATTCTTCACAGTCAGCTTAGAGTTGAACTATCTTGAGTAATTTTATGTTGGTTAAACAGGATTTGTTTAGACAAATTATTCATAGAGGCATACACAGAGTATGCCAGTGCACTTGGAAATATAGGTAGAAGTTATTGGTATACCACTATATTGGCAGAGTGGGTAAGTGCAGTAGCTTTTCATCTCTGGTGACTTGCATTCCAAATTCCAAGTTGGGTCAAAACAAAGTACTTTGAATTTATCCTGCTCTTTGTATTACAACCCGTCACGTGATCTTTGCATGACTGCAATTGTCTGTTACAGAGAGGGCCAATATTGAGTAAGGAGATATTTTGCTGGTTAGGACTGAGGTATATTTGTAGAGCCAGGTCGGGAAGATCACAATCTTCCTCCTCTGTGCTAGGCCTTGCTTCAGTCATTGCTGTTTTTCTGTCGCTTTCATGAATACTAAATTCATCTACCTAGCGTTTTCCTTTGTTTTTCTTATTTGAATTTAATATTCTTAATCGTTGTTTTTAAACAAGAAGGCTGCTACATTTGGCACTTATTGGGTCACAGTAGTCATGAAGTTGATGCTTCACTAAGCAATGTGAACTTCAGGACATGTATAAGATTCCTCTTTTATGTTTGCTTTGTGAGGAGGAGATGTTGCTTGAGGATGGCAAATTTAGTGAGGGTGAGGTTTTATGTTTCTGATTTGCTGTATAGCTTAACTGTTTGCTGCTATATATTATGAGCTTGCTTTTGGCTTGTTTTGGTTTTTTAATTGTGTTTTTAAACAACTTAAGGGTGCTTACAGCTTTGGAGGTACCTTTTTGTTTATAAATCCAAATATATACAAGCTATTTAAAAATAAAAGGAAATACAGCAAAACCTGTGTGGCTCAAACAAATTGAATTTATTCTGTGCACAGATTTTTAATATGAGATGAAGTTTCCTTTGTTTTGTAGTTCCCTTTAATCACCACAACGTGACACCTCATCTGAATTCTTGTAATCTATGGATATGCCTTGCAGGCAAATAAAAGAGAGTGGGAAAGAGAAGTGTTAGTTTGTGGATTTGATAAAAATTTGATGAAGTGAATGGTAGCTCACTTCAGCATGCATCAAAAGTTCATGAATGACTTTATATATCAGTAATGGGATGCTGAAAATGGTAAATTATAGCTAGAATTGAGATAATTTTGATGGTCCAGAGATGATTCCAGTCAAATCTCTACATTAAAATGACTCCCTGAACCTGCAGTATTCTTGATTATCTAGAATAATGTTTCTAAACCTGGGGGTGGTCGTGGGACAAGTTTAGGGGGGTCGCAAGCCGGGCCAGCGTTAGGGGGTAGGCAGCAGGGCAATTGCCTGGGGCTCTGTGTCACCAGGGGCTCTGCAAAATTAATGTACATGTTTCAGCCCTGAGCATAAGGTAGGGGGGTGCAATTTTTTCTGGTGGGGGTTGGTCACATTTTTTTTGTAAGTCCAAACTGGGTCGCCAGCACAAAAAGGTTAAGAAACCCTGATCTAGAATAATATACTAGTAAAATGGTAAAGTGGCGACATCAGTCCTAAAATCTCAAGCACTAAAAGAAATATAATGGCCAATAGAATCTGGATTTACTTTATTGGTGAGCCTACTCCAGGAGCTGGATTTTTCAAAGCTGTAATTTTCCGCTCCGTGCTGACTTACAATATTTCTCTAATATGACAGAATTTCAGTTAGCAAATATTTTGCTTGCTACATTTCTTATTGGTGACTAATGTACTGACAACTATACTTGGCATTCTTGGGCGTTTTATATGGTAAACTGCAGCAGCACTTATCTGTAAATTTTTCCGCCTTGGCTTTGAAGAACAAAGTAAAAAACAAAACCAGAAACCTAGTTTCCTTGTGGTAGAACTAATTCCACCTTTTTATTAATGTATATTAATGAAGGGTTGTTAAAGACTGAAAACTGAGAGGAAAGCTTATGCTAAAGTTATTACTCACTGTGCTGAAATGTCTTTTACTATTTGGCTTTGTGGCTAGGTAATGTCTTGAATTGGTGTGCTTTAATGGTTTCTAAAAATATTTGCTCTGCTAATGCTTTTGGAATGAACCTTAACATTGCATGCAGATGGAAGATTGTAGCTTTTATCATCTTTCTCTTCGCTGGGTGAAGCTCCCTTTCAACAGCTGGATCATTCAGATTTTACTCTTTGCAACAGCTGGGATTAAATTTTTGCTTCATAATCCAGTTTACCTTTGTTTTAATTTTCCATTGTTGCTGTTAAATTTGACTCCAAATTACTGTGATATCTGAAACAAAACTTTTTTCTCAGAGATTTTCAGATAATTTTATTTCCATCCACTAGTGAGCTAAAGGGAATTATTAAGGCTGGTTACTTAAAATACCTGAAAACTGAGAATGATGACTGTTTGGCTTTGCAGGAACAAATTGGGTTGTTTTTTCCACCCATCTTTTTCTCTCTGTCCTCCTTTAAACTTAGGTCATATTGGCTTGCTTTTCGGTTAAACAACAGTTGGCTGGAGGTAGCAATTCTGAATTGAACATCAACAGCTGTTCCAAGCTTCTCTCTGTTCCTTATTACTTTCCTGTTGTTAATATGATGATTGCTAATGCATTCTGTCCTGATAACATTTAACAATTGACCTTTTGGTGACACTTTTTTTTTTTTTAATTTCCTTTGTTTTCTGATCCCCTTCAGGAGAGTATAGCAAGCTGAGGGCTTGTCTACACTGGCAATTTACAGCGCTGCAACTTTCTCACTCGGGGTGTGGAAAAAACACCCCCCAAGCGCAGCAAATTTCAGCACTGTGAAGCGCCAGTGTAGACAGTGCACCAGCGCTGGGAGCTACGCCCCTCATGGAGGTGGCTTTTCTGCCGCGACCACACAAGCCACGTTAAAGTGCTGCCATGTAGACTAGCCCTCAGTTAGGGGCTCTTGCATTGAATGCTAAAGCTTCTTAAGCAAGCTAGTGTCATAAACCCAATATTGGACCTAGATTCTTCAGCTAGTACAAATGCCCAGATTCCCATGGAAACTGTAGATATGGAGAAGATTTTTGGCTCTGGAAAAGTGGAACAACAGTGTTTAAAACATTAATAGATGTCCTAACTATAGTTCCTTCTTGCACTGAAAAATAAGAAATATAGAAAGCCTTATTAAAGCCTCTACTGCAGTGTTCCCCAAACTTTTTCCTTCACATACCCCCTTACCAGTTTCTCTACATCCTTTCTATACAGCGGTGACCAAAATTGGACACAGTACTCCAGCTGAGGCCTGATCAGTGCCGAGTAGAGTGGTACTATCACCTCCCATGACTTGCATGCTATACCTCTGTTAATGCAGCCCAAAACTGCTTTTGCTTTTTTTTTTTTTTTTTTTTTGCAACAGCATTGCATTGTTGATTCATGTTGAGTTGTGATCTACCACAACTCCCAGATCCTTCTCAGCAGTGCTGCTGCCAAGCCAGTTATCCAATTTCTCCTTGTGCATTTGACTTTTCTTCCCTAAGTGTAGCATCTTACATTTGTCTTTGTTTAATTTTATTTTGTTGTCTATAGCCCAGTTCTCCAATTTATCAAGATCCCTTTGAATTTGAGTTATATCCTTCAAAAGTGTTTGCAACCCCCCTAGCTTTGTGTTATCTGCACATTTGATCAGTATTCCAATATCCAGGTAATTAATAAAGATGTTAAATTAACTGGGTCCAGAAAAACAGATCCCTGTGGAACCCCACTTGAGACCTCCTTCCAATCTGACATTAATAGTTACTCTTTATTTGCTGTTGTTTAACCAGTTATGTATCCACTTATGTATCTGCCAAGCCCACATTTCTCCAGTTTAAAATCTTATAGAAGAATATGCGGCAAAAATTGTGTCATGGTTTGTGTCACGACAAAACTTATGCACACTTTGCCTCCATTATATTGGTAATGTGGCTAATATGTGATGCCTTATGTGCATTTATGTAAATATTTCTTTTTAAAGGTCTGTGGGGTACAAGATTGATGGAAGAAAACACTAGCAGAGAGAGGTACCTGAAAAGTGTTTTACGAGAACTGATCACATATGTGATTTTCCTTGTGGTCTTGTGTGTCTGTAAGTACCATTTTCCATTAATTTTCAAATTTCTATACTAATTGTCTGTGCTGTGTGACCCAAGAATGAACAGTGAGGGTTTATACCCCAGGATGGTAGGAGTGCTGTCTAGTGATTAGGTCACGAGGCTGGTATTTAGGATACTTGGATTCTGTTTCTAATTCTGCCATTGGCTTCTTGTGTGAGCTTTGAAAAAATAATTTCAAACTGTTTGCCTCAATTTTCCCACCTTCAAAATAGAATAATACCTTCCTTTTAAAAAGTGGGAACTTTGGTAATAGTTATGATTCCTGTGCGTGCCTCTGTTTTGTATTACTACATGGAATCTAAAGGTTAAAATGCTGCTCTTGAGACAGAACAGGAGACATGGGGCGTTAGGTCATGCAACTGGGCTGTCATGAATGCATCATCAAAGGACTGGCTGAAACTGACCCATATCAATGGAGGATCCAGAAAGACAATGGGAACCTCAAGGACTGAACAGTTGCCACCTATCCACAGGAAACTCTGTTGGGCAGAACATGTGAACTCAGCCTGCGTCTGCAGGAGGAAGACAATGAACCAAAAGATGACAGGAGGTTAGGGTAGGAGCAGGCCTTTGGGAGAGAAAGAATAGCTCTCACCTGGGACTGAGACAGGGATAGAAGCAGACAATAGCATGGTTCACAGGAACCCTGGTTTGGCCAGTATGGATTATGTCTTAACCATTGCCTCTCTGTGCTAACAAAGGACTTTCCACTGGTGAATTTCAGTTGACTGATAAACCCTACTCTGTTTTGAAACCCTACTCTGGTGTCCCTGAAAATACTTGCTGAGGTGTATTGATCCCTGAAGAGGGCAAAAAGTCTGTGAACAGGGGTCTGTCTCATGGTGTGAAATAGTTCTGGAGGCTCAGGACAGGTCTACACTACATAATTACTTTGGTATAACTACATCACTCAGGGGTCTGAAAAATCCATACCCCTGAGTGATGTCGTTATACCAACCTAAGTGCCAGTGTCGCGGGAGAGCTTCCTCCACCGACATAGCTACCACATCTTGTAGAGGTGGATTAACTGTGCTGATGGGTGAATGCTCTACTCCTTCCTACAGTGTCTTCATTAAAGTGCTACAGCGGTGCAGGTGCATCAGTACAGCTGTGCCCATGCAGTGTTTTAAGTGTTAACCTTCCCTCAGTCCTAAAGGCATTGAGGCCATGTGCCCTACCCTTGTGGAAGAATTGGGGCCCCTTTCAGGTTCTGGCATGCTGAAAGGGTTCCTCCAAGGGACTGTTTAAAAGCTGGTGCATAGCACAAATCCTGTGTATCTGACGCCATCGAATAGTGAAAGGCATGAGCTATTGATCACAGTCAAAAATTAAAGTTTAGAAAGTGTCTGAAAAGGTATGATTTTTATCAACTAAGACAACACCAGATATCCTTAAGCGTAAAAGTTCCTGTAGTGGTTGAAAGACTGGCGGTGGTAGCCTCTTTAACATTTTTGACTCTCTCTCCATATGCACATAACATTGAGTGTCCTAAACAGGCTTGCAGCCTCATGCATGCTAATACACAGATGTAAATCTTGGGTAAAGTATGTGGTATTAAACATGGGCACAAGATAGTGAGTAGATGCTCAGATATCAGTCTTATTTATAGGGGAGTTTACCTTTACTTTTACATAAAAGTAAAGGTAAAGAAATCCAAAGAGGCAGATATTGGAAGTTCTAATACATGATGGACAAGGTGGGTGAGGTAATATCTTTTATTGAGCCAACTTCTGTTGGTGAGAGAGACAAGCTTTTGAGCTTACAAAAAGCTGCTCTTCAGGTCCTCTTCAGCTCTGTGTAACTTGAAAACTTCTCTCTCACCAACAGAAGTTGTTGCAGTAAACGATGATACCTCACCCACATTGTCTCTCTAGTCTGGAACCAACATGGTGTCACAGTTACCACAAGTCCGGTGCTTTCGCACGGCTCTGTATCAGTCCCAGGGAGGGCCCCTTTAGAGTGTTAACCCCCCTTTGGGTTACACTCTCTCACTGGGGTAAGCCCCGTGGCTTCAGTGCCTCCTAGGACCGCACTTCTGAGCGTTCAGCATGCCTGCCTAAGGCTTGGTCTACACTTACCCCCCAAGTCGAAGTAAGGTACGCAAATTCAGGTACGTGAATAACGTAGCTGAATTCGACATACCTTACTTCGAACTTACCGCGGTTCAGACGCGGTCCACACGCGGCAGGCAGGCTCCCCGTCGACTCCGCGGTACTCCTCTCGTTGAGCTGGAGTACCGCAGTCGACGGCGAGCACTTCCTGGTTCGATTTATCGCGTCCAGACCAGACGCGATAAATCGAACCAGGAAGTTCGATTTCCAGCCGCCGAACTAGCGGCTAAGTATAGACCAGCCCTCACTCTGAGAGCTCCCCTCAGTGAATCCACTTAAACTGGACCCGGGGGCAGACTTGCACAACCAAAGGGAGAAATGCAATCCTGACCTCTTTAGTCTAGAGTGACTCTCAGATAGCACTGTAAAACAGAAGGATTTGTAAAATTTCTGGAATACCGCATAAGCAGTTCTTCAGTTAGCATAGAGAGTGGAAAAGTTGCAGCCAAGTCCAACTGAGTCTGACTAGAGCCCAGGGCCCTCTTCCAGTCCACAAGTGCCCCTACTTCCAGCAGACCACACTTAACTAACCCAACCTGCTCTTCTTCAGTCCTTTGTTCCTCTTACCAGGCAGACATGGTCACCTGACCATCCACCTTAGCTCTTTGTTCTCCAGCTGGTCCGAACTGGCTGGCTTCCTGCAAGGGGGGGACAGCAGTCCATGTTCATTATTTGCTAGACACCCAGATGTCCACGCACTGTCTTCTGGGTTCTCGGAGGGGGTGGGGGGAAGAGGGGCAGGCAGCTAGCAACAGTGACGCTGGGATCTCTGCAAATAATAATCACCCTTTCCCCACCACCTGGTCAAACATGCAGCATCCAAAGTGCTATGAGAAATTCCCTCTTCATCACACATGGCTATAACAACACTGCACATAATATATCACACCCACACAGAGAGAATCTTAGTTCATTTTAGGGGTTATCCCTTGGGGGGAAGATTAATGAGTACTTTTTGTGTGTGCAATGTAGGATATTTTAGAACCCTAGAACCATATTCAGAATACATACTGGGAGGTCTTCTAGATTAGAGTTTGTGCTGTTAGCATATTGTGCTTTTACAATGGAAGCATCAGAAGTAAAAACATTCCTTTATCTAAACACTGAAAATGTTAAAGATTTTTTTTTTAACTTTTAACAAAAGTATTTTAGGTTTTTATTAATACACCATGATCTAGTTTGTAGAATAAACTCAAGTACAGATTCCTCTTAGTTATTGAGGCAAAATAACTTTTTTAAGGATTTTCACACCTTCCTGCCACATAGGCAGCTGACCAAGGTTGTGGGAAATAATATAAGTATGGTATTACATAGTGCTTGGAATTATTAGAGGTTCTGAATATAATTTTTTTTAAATAAAATCTCTCCAAAAATAATCTTTTTAGAGTTTCATTTCTAATACTGTTACACACAAAGTAGCTCATTCAAATATAGCATGTGCAATGGCTAAAACAGATACTTGGTTTTTCATATGGTCTAGTGGTTCAAACATAATGCAGGCAAACGGGGGGGTCCTTGTTCTGCTCCAGACTTCAGCCTTGCAAAACAATCATGAAAATTTGCCAGCCTAAACATAAAATCTATTCACCGACTTTCCTCCTGGTGGTGGTGATAAAACAAATCTTTTACTTGCCTAGCAAAACAATTACTTGCTGCCGGTTAATATAATTCTGGAAAGCTGGCATATTTTTTATGCTCTTTATTTTTAGCACTGGCAATAAATCCTCAATTTAATATTTTCAGTGCCTCAAATAAAATGCCAATGAATTTTAAACTAAAATATAAAGTTGTAGCTTTGAGACCAAGTATGACTTCTTTATCTACTCTGGTATTTTTCTTAAATTTTTAGTACCACTAGTACCATACCATTAGTATGTCAGGTGAAGTAGTGTAAATGTGGTACCAGCATTTGTATCACTGTGTCATCTAACCCTACTCAGAATTAGTCTAGATGATAGTGGCAAAAACCCCAGTGGACTTTCAATACTAGCACCAGTGGAAATGCAACAGTGAGAGATTTAATAAAATAAAATAAAATAAAAAAAAAGAGAAGCCAGGATATACAAGGCCTTGATGTAGATCTACAGTTTATTTCCCTGTAGAATTTTAGCACTGCTAGAAGACATAAATGTTAACAGATCCATCAGCTGAATAACTTGATGCAAACTCGCATAAAATGTTTTTGCCTGCAGACCATTTAACTACGCTTTCAAATTGTTTTTTTAATGGAGGAGAGGGGAACTACAGTATTTTGAAAATTAGTATAGCCCTTTGTTTCAGTTAAAAAGGCATTTTAAACATATTTGTCGTCTCCCCCCCCCCCCCAGCAGTTTGCTCTTGAGTTTTCACAGTTCAGTATGTCCTGCAGTTATTGTTTGGCATAATTTGGATGGTCATTTTTCAGTACAAGAAAAGAAAGAGAGAGCATTTCATATGTACTAGTATTTTTAAATTAATAAATTGACTGAAGGTCAGTGTCCTGCATTAGCAATTCATACACTCACCATACAACATAGAAGAAAAGCTTGAAGAAATAGTTCTTGTTCTTTATTTAAAGAAAATAAATAGTCTTATTTATAGGGGAGTTTAACTTTTCTTAACTCTGATTATACTATATAGTTGTCAAAGGACTCTGTCACCACAACAAGGTTAAAAATTGGTATATAGCCTGGACCTAATTCCATCCCTCAAAATGGGCTGTGGTATTGGACTTTCCAGGGGTTTAACAGTGTCCCTGTAACCGGGTTAGGTACTGTCCACCCATTAACTTTAACTATGCTATAACTGGATCTCCCAATGGGCTTATGGTTATAGTTGTTGTGTTGATGCAGTCTTTAAGTTGGGGGCCTAATTCTCTGTTGTGTCAGTCTTTTCTGGTGGCTGTGCCCTGTTCACTCCAACTGGAAAGATGCTATTGTACTATAAGCGAGGGGCCAATCCCACCTTTCCTGATATGCCCTGCTATTAGATATCCTGTTCCTTTCCTCTGTCTTCTCCTCATTTGAGCTTTTCTGGTGGTTTTGGGCCTTCCTTGCCTCACCCTTCCACCTGCCTCATCCCTCCAGAATGGCACCTATGCTGCTGCTTGTGCACGTGGCCCTATTTTAAAGGAGTGAGGAGAAGCAACGGATGCACTCTTAGGCCCTGATGCAGCGGTGCATTTAAGTGTGCTTAACTTTGTGTATGAGTAATCCTATCCCTATGCAGCAAAGCATATAACTGCATGAGTAAGCATGTGCTCAAGTGCTTTGCTGAATAGGGATGGGATTACTTAAATGCTTAAATACATTGTTGAATCATGAATTTGGTCATTTTCAATGTCCGTTCCTAATGGTGCATAGAGGAAGCAGTATGTCTACGAGCAGCCAGTGACCATTGCCTCCTCTGTGAATAGTCTGCAGTGTTCGAGAACACTGCATCTGATACTACTACTACACTTAGCAACTCCAGTATGGCTTGTAGAAGTAGAGGGTAAAACTGACTAGGGGTCACATTGGTATCACTCTGCGATGGGAGAAATGCAATGGGCAGGAGCCACAGCACAGCCTTACTACAGGGAAACGTCAAATGTTCGAAGGTGATGGAACACAACTCCTGCAATCCCTTCCAGTCCTAGAATCTATGAATCTATAAAATTTGGCAGTCTTTCAGCTGTTCTGTGCTATGCTAGTAGCAGAATCTGACGGAGCTAGCATATCCAGCATTTGAAGGATTAGCCTGGTTCAAAGGAGATGATTCTAGTGGTGTAGGCCTGATTTAGAGAATCCTATGCCACTTCCATCCCTGCGGTGGGCTGCTCTAACTTTTGACTAGGGATTGGTCCTGAATTCCGTGACCCAAGGATCAAAGAAACCAAAGTCATCTTTCCATCCCACTATAACTTGTGCTATGTGGTTCTCAGCCAAGGACTTGGTCCAATAGGAGCAAAAACTAAATCCGTATTCAGGGTTTTCTAATTAAAAGATCTTTTAAAGTTACTGCACATATCCTTTTTCTTGCCAATTATTATTTTAGAAGTTTAATAATAAATAGCTTATTATTTATAATTACAGGTAACTCAAGAAAGTGGAGTTTTAACATTGAGTATTTTAAAGCTGATTGACATGTCTATTCTGTATTCTTTTTACACTAAGGGCACGTCTTCACTACCCGCCGGATCGGCGGGTAGCAATCGATCTATTGGGGATCGACTTATCGCGTCTAGTGAAGACGCGATAAAATCGATCCCTGATCGCTCTGCCGTCGACTCCGGAAATCCACCGCGGCAAGAGGCGGCAGCGGAGTCGACGGCGGCGCGACAGCAGTCGTCTTGCCGCCGTCCTCACAGCCAGGTAGGTCGACCTAAAATACGCAACTTCAGCTATGCTATTCACGTAGCTGAAGTTGCGTATCTTAGGTCGACCCCCCGCTGTAGTGTAGACCTAGCCTAAGGGTAGGTCTACACTGCAGTTAGCCACCTGCAACTGGCCCATGCCAGCTGGCTTGGATTGCAGCCCGAGCTCTGGGACTCTCCCACCTCTCAGGGTCCTAGAGTCGGGGCTCCAGCCCGAGCCCCAATGTCTACACCTCAGTTAAACCGCCCCTTAGCCCTAGCCCCATGAGCCCAATTCAGCTGGCACAGCCAGCCACGGGTTTTTAATTGCTGCGTAAACATAGCACAAAATCACGTCGGAGTGATTAATGGTGATTATTGGGGGCTTGGTGATAGGGAAAAGCTTGCCTTATGTTTTCTCCTATTTAGAAATGTTAACATTTCTGTGTAAAATACAATTGGATGTTTTTGAAATAAGCGTTTTAAACGTGGTTCCCTCTTTTTCTCCTCCCTACCAAAAAATGTCTCCTGCAGTGACTTATGGGATGGTGAGTTCCAGTATGTACTATTACACTAGGGTAATGTCACAGCTCTTCCTGGAAACGCCTTTATCGAAAATGGAGAAAAACAATTTCAAAACCTTATCCACCATGGAGGACTTCTGGAAGGTGAAGGGAAAAAAATTATCTTATTGTCACTATAAATTCGTTATTTTTCCCCCTCTGGACTCTCAACTTTAATCTGTAAATATCTCTTAAATTTGCCATTGTAATCAACAAATGCTCTTAGGTCTGGTCTACATTTTTGCCAGTACTGTACAGCAATGTTGCCTGGGGATGTAATAATTTTTTTTGTTTGTAACTACATTTTTATTCTGGCAAAAGCTCTAGTGTAGACACAGTATACACAGAGTGCAATTAAGTGCTTTGCTACTGAAGCTTATTTTGTTCAGCAAACTGGAATAAGCTATATGAGCAAAAACATTCTTTTGTCACTATAAGCTGCATCTACACTAGGAGGGTTTGCTGGTATACTACACCAGCAAATCTTTGTAGTGTAGACAAGGCCACAGTTACTAAATGCAATCCATTACAAGTGTTGAATTTAGGAATCTAGATGTCACAATGGATTAACACTTGCTAGATTCACTTCTAGAATGTGGATTTAAATCTTAGTTCAGGTCCCGAGAGAGAATATATTTGGTTCTGATATACTAATACAGTTACTTATCAGGCCTGGACATTACTGACCTAATAGGTGACACACCTGTAGAGTTGCTGATGTGTGTTATATCAAGTGTTGTTATTAGGAGTCCTGTTGATTTCATTGGTACAATAGAACCTCAGAGTTACGAACTGACCGGTCAACCACACACCTCATTTGGAACCAGAAGTACACAATCAGGCAGCAGCAGAGACAAAAAAAAAGAAAAAAACAAATACAGTACAGTACTGTGTTAAATGTAAACTACTAAAAAAGAGAACGTTTAAAAAAAGATTTGACAGGATAAGGAAATTGTTTCTGTGCTTGTTTCATTTAAATTAAGATGTTAAAAGCATTTTTCTTCTGCATAATAATGTTTTAAAGCTGTATTAAGTCAATGTTCAGTTGTAAACTTTTGAAAGAACAACCATAACGTTTTGTTCAGAGTTACGAACAACCTCCATTCCCACAATGTTCGTAACTCTGAGGTTCTACTGTACTACTTGTGTTTCAGGCTAACTACATGCATAATTCTTTGCTACATTTGGGCCTTTGTTTGCTGATCACTGACCTTTCACTCCTTCTGAGCCATTATCAGTCCTAGTCCTGCAATGTGCCGGTGCAGTAGTCTTGCATCGGCAGGGTGTGGCTGTAGCAGTCTGCCCAAGCATGACACATAGCAACCCTATGTACTAATTCTTGCACTGTGTATTCAGGAGCAGTTAATGTACTAAAAATAATTAGAATATTTCAATATACCAAAATTATTTTGTATTCCTCCCATCTCCCAGAAAACACGCTAGTCTGTAGACTGAGTAAAAAATTTTAAAATTACTTTTGCACTTAAGCTCCTAAGTTCCATTGACTTTTAAAGGCTCTTAGGCGCCTAAGTGCCAAAGTCAAATTTGAAAAAAGACAAGCTCCTAAGTCATTTGGGCACTTTAGGAAATTTTACCGATTTAAGCCTACGAATAATTTTTCATAAGTCACTTTGATATATTTTAAGTTTCATATTTCTTATTTTTGTAACTCAAGCAGCCACATAGATTTTTGTATCAAACATGCAGAACAGTGATTTAATGACTCTCAACTGCAAAGAGCATAAATATGAGTGAAGAAGAGAACTGCATGTAGCTGAATTCATGGTAGCTTTAGTGGGAATGTTTTCCCTAGTGCAGACATGGCCACAGAGGATCGCTCCATTTCTAAAAACTCAGAATCCTTCATTCTTCCTCTTTTTAATCCTTTGCCCAGTGAACGTAGCATAGTTATCATACTTCTGATCATGGTGGGTTGGGAAAATTCCCTTGGAACCCATCAACACTTAGTTAGCCAGAGGACTTTTTGCTAAGTAATTTTATGTAGCAAGAATTTTTTCTGTTAATAGACAAAAACTAACAATCACAATATAAAACACATCCTTGGCAGGAGTGGAGGTGTATAAAACTACTGAGTGTTGGCTCTGAATGAACTTAGCATCCCTAACATTCTTTCTTCCTCCTCAGTTCACAGAAGGCCCTTTGCTGGATGGTCTGTACTGGGAGATGTGGTACAACAATAAAACCATGGCAGAAAACAAAAGTTTCATTTATTACGAGAATCTGCTTTTGGGGGTGCCTCGTGTTCGGCAGGTGAAAGTGAGAAATGGGTCATGCTCAATACCTGAGGATTTAAAAGATGAAATTAAAGAATGCTATGACGTTTATTCTGTTGCTAATGAAGATACTGCTCCTTTTGGGCTCCGGAATGGAACAGCGTATGTATTTCTCTCACATCCACATAGCCAAGTGTGTGTTCTGCAATTCTGTGGGCGTTTTTAGCTGATTCTCCAGTGATATCTGATACCTGCCAAAAGCAACATCTTAATTATTGCGTGTTCTGCATGTAAACTCTTCCTTCACTGTTAAATCTAAAACAGTTGTCAACTCTAATTAGTTTCTTCCACCTGTATGAAATCAGTCTATTGGTTCTGTAGAAGACTCTGTTCTTGGCCTTACTGGCTTAGGTACATCCAAGTCTGCTACAAACCGGTATTTCCATTGCCCAGAAATGCAACGTGATCTAAGCATGACAGTTGAAGCCAGAAGTCTCGACTTCTAATTCTGGATTTTACTGCTTACTCACTGTGAGTCTTTGGTTAAATTGTCTTCGCCATGCACAAAGTGGAAATACTACTTGTCTCCCTCACAGTGGTGTTTGTAAATTATTATATGAAAATGCTGCTTTTCGTTTCACTAAGAGAATACAACTCCCTGTGCCAATTGAGAGTATTCTGTTGTCAAGACATAGTTAATTTACTGTGACTTGTCATTATCTATCTTTACTATTAATTTTGTCTGTTAATATCAAGAGACCCTCTAGTGCTTCTTTCCAGGTTACAGATACCACAACTTTCTTATTAATATCTCTTAAAAAAAAATCCCAATTGCTATAATTTACGTGATCAAGCTTTTGTATATATGCTGTTACATATGAAAAGAGTAATTAATGTATTCTTCCCTTGCTGTCTTAAACTAGTTGGACTTACACCAATGAACAAGATTTGAATGGGAGCAGCCACTGGGGGTTGATTGCCTCATACAGTGGGGCTGGTTATTATCAGGATCTGTCACGAAGCAGAGAGGAGACAGCCGCACAGATTGCTAACCTTAAGAAACACTTGTGGCTGGATAGAGGGACCAGAGCAGCCTTTATTGATTTCTCTGTGTACAATGCGAACATCAATCTATTCTGTATTGTCAGGTATTTATAAAACTTTGGATAGCATGTATGTTCTCTCAAATGACATTGCACAAACAGTAGATATGGGATCTGCTTTATTTTGTATTATGGAAATTGATCAATATGCACTGAATCTTCTTATGTAGGTGAAGTGAGAGCCTCTTGGAACGTTTCAGCAAAAGGAAGAGTTATTTGTATGGCTGATGATTTTCATCCCAAATGCTTACATTTGGATAGCCCTTGGAGTTGGTTAGCATCTACTGCCCTCGGGGAGTCACTAGAAAAGACACCTGAATATCCTGTCCAGCACGTCCACAGAGCCGAGCCACCTTTCTCTTGTGTACTACTTCCTTCTAACTGACAATTTTGAAATGTCAAATGTGTTTTTTGTTTTTTTTTTAAGGTTTTTTTCCCCCAAATAACTCCTGTTTGAAAAGAAAGTATGAATTTCTCATTGTGTTCGGTATTTCTGTCCACTATCACTACCAAATATAGAAACACTTTGTACATTTGAAAAAGAGTAGCTGAAGGCGGTATAGCCTGGGTCAGATTATGAGAGCATCTTTTTGATGTTGAGGATGATTTATCCTAATGAGTTAAGGAACCATGTAGCTACGTGGAATGGGAAGTTTATATTCTGAAAGAGGTACTACATAACTATGCTTTGTAAAAATCAGGATTTTTCCGTGACTTTAAAAAAATCCCAATATTTGCTTTAAATTATATTTATAAATGCAGTTACCAAAACGATCTGAAATCAGTGACTCTGTTCTAAAGGGACAGTGCTGAGTCTTAAAATAGTTGCACACAAAAAAATCCTTACATGTATTATTAACAGCACCTACAATTATGAAAAGGCCAACATTTTTTAAAATTGCTGGTTGAGGTTTTTTGTATTACATTTAACCTGGAAAGTGAAACTAGACAGACAAACTTCATCTCCTGGTACTCAGGTTGCAGATAGTAGGGACCAAAGTTTAAAGTGTGAGTGCAACAGAAGATGTCTATGTGCAAATTAGGGATTTGTGTACATACAGTCTTGCTTTATACAACATCTTGTGTGTGTCACCTGAGTGCAAAATTGTGCACATACTTTAAAATGTTACCATATAGGAATTTCTAAGTCAAACAATTTCCATCCTTATTAATTTTAGCTCTAAAAAAATTTTAAAATTAAAACCCATGAAAATGTTTTTCTACTACTGTTAGATTTTTGTAAAACTTCCTGCTGACAAATTTGAAAAGTCCAGGCTTATGCTGCTGAAGTAATTTTCAGGGTCTGGTCTCAAACATACTATTTTTGTTTTCTTTTTTTAAAATGCAGGTTATTAGTGGAGTTTCCAGCAACTGGAGGCCTCATTACATCTTGGCAGTTTCAGCCAGTGAAGCTTATCCACTACATTTCTACTTTTGATTTCTTCCTGGCAGCCTGTGAAATAGCCTTTTGTCTCTTTACCCTTTATTATATTGTAGAAGAGATCTTGGAAATTCGCATCCATAAACTGCATTACTTCAGGAGTCTCTGGAATTGTCTTGATATCCTCATCATTGTGGTGGGTAATGCTTCTGGATATGAATCTTTACGATATTCTTGTACTGCTTTCTTTTAAGCGTTTTTCGGGAAGTGTTCTGTGCACTCAGCACTAGTAGCATGGGTATAGGGGACAAATGTGTGCTGAAGGAGACAGTAACCACATTCTAATTACATGATTTCAGTGAGATTACTCACGGCAGAAGGTACTATTCAGTGTGAGAAAGGGTATCACAATTTAGAGGATTATGTATATTTCGCTGAATTTCCTTGATTCTCCTATTCAGTGGTATCTTTAGGAGAGGATCTGAAAGGATTCTACTGTGTACAGAGGGATTTTTAGCATCTCTCAGGTTTTTAACCTCCTTCCCTCTGTACAAAGCTATTTTGAAATAATTTTCTTCCAATGATTCTTGAAGCTGCAGGGACTGCCATGAGGAGAGGAAACTATAACAAATTCTGCTTTACCGTGGCTCTCCCATACTTCCGGACATCAAATACCAGCTGATGCAATGATTTTTGAGTGCCATTCCAATGACAACATCCTCTGCTTTAAAGCCAACACTTTTGGGCACTTTGAGAGAGGGTGTGGGTGTCTGAGTGTATTTGCAAAGTAATACTAACAAATCTTAGTGTTTTTATTCCGATATTTAGCGAGCTAATAACAAGTTTTGAATGACATTGCTTGCTACTTGCCAACCAGACCCAAGTGCCAGAGTGTGTAGTTGATTGCCCAGCACAGCCTGCACCAGCATGATTTCCATATAGTACGTGTCAAGTTTGGCTTCCTGATAAAGTAGACAGAATGTTCTCTTTGTATGGGGTGAAAAATTTAGTTTTGAACTTCAGGCTCCTGTGTAATCCATGATGTAGAGCACTGGGCTGGGGTTTTGCCAACTTTGCTTTATACAAAAACATTTGCCAATAATGTAACGATTGAAATGAGCATGGTGCCAGGAGCCAGCAGCTTCTGCATTTTTATTCTAGACTCTGTTTCCGTGTTCTCTAGCTCATGCAGAGGAGAGGGCTGAATTCTATGTGTAATTATGGTCCATGGGCCAGGGTACAAATTCAGGACTATATGCTCCCACAATGCACAGTGCCGTGTTCACTGATGTCATTAAAAGATTTTGATGATGATCAAAGGTGGACGTTGACCATCGTGGTAGTAGCTAAACATGTAGTTAGTCATTATTTGTTCTGTGCATTATTGGCGCTTCATCACTCAGTGAGAAAATTTGCTCCCTCTTTAGGCCACCGTTATTCCTGCCCTTAATTTCTCTTCCTCTTCTTTCTCTCCCTGGTCTTTGTGAATCTCCTCTGTTCTTTTCCCTTCTCTGCATTTCCTTCCCTCCAGCAACTCCCATTTTCCAATCCCAGTGGGGTTCACTCCTGAAACCGTTGTCCAGTCTATCTGCTAAAATGATCAATATAGGGACAGAGTAGTTGATCTGATTCATTGTATCAGGCTGTCTGCAGCCTTAGGCAGATGTTAATGCATCGATTTAGGGTACGTCCAGACTACCCGCCGGATCGGCGGGTAGCGATCCATCTATCGGGGATTGATATATCGTGTCTTGTCTAGACACGATATATCGATCCCCGAACGCTCTCCCGTCGACTCTGGAACTCCACCAGGGTGAGCGGCGGTAGCGGAGTCGACGGGGGAGCCGCGGCCGTCGATCCCGAGCCGTGAGGATGGGAGGTAAGTCGAAATAAGATACGTTGACTTCAGCTACGCTATTCCCGTAGCTGAAGTTGCGTATCTTACGTCAAACCCCCCCCCCCCCCGCAATGTAGACCAGGCCATAAACTATGCTCATGTTTAGAAGGTATTTGGCACACAGGAGGGCTAGAAACTTTATTTTAAATGAAAGCTTTGATTCTGGATGTCCTGCAGATCACAATAAACGTCATGTGGGCTGGATCTAGTCCGTAGGCACTGATGGTGCGCTTTTTTTTTTTTGGAAAGGCCAGTGAGGTAATCTATTTATGTAGTGGCATTTAAAACCTATTCAGTCAAGTGTTTCTTATTGTTTATGTATTTCTTTTCTACTCAGCTATCAGTAGCAGCTATAGGAATTAACATGTATAGAAGGTCAACAGTGGACATGTTACTGAAGAAGCAGCTGGAAGATCAAAACGCTTTCCCCAATTTTGAACCTTTGGCATACTGGCAAATACAATTCAACAACATTGCTGCTGTCACTGTGTTTTTTGTCTGGATTAAGGTAAATCCTAATACTTCAGATTGGAATGAAGCTCTTTAACACACATGCTAATGTAACTGCAAGAAATATCTTTGATTTGTTTCTGCACCTTGGAAACAACCAAATGCATTCCAGGCTTGCTCACGTTTCTGCTGAGGCTAACCATGGAAAATTTCAGACCAAAAGCATAACTATGTGCAAGTGAAAACAGGGCTATAATCTTGAAACCTAATTTTAGAAAAAAGAATCAGTGCATATTGCTAATGCTAATAGTGCTCACAATAAATTATATGAAAAAATCAGTCTAGTCTTGTCATTCCTTGACCCAGTGACAAGTCACTAGCCCTAATTAGTTCCTGTTCTCTCCCAACCTGGTGGAGCTGTTGCCCTTTCATCAATCAACCCATATACAAAAGTCCTATAATGTTAAGACATGGATAGTTTCTAAAACACATGGATTCCATGACTGCTGTGTTGAGGCTACGTACTCATTAGTGTTAAATATGATACTTTTGCTTTCCTGGAGTCTTCCTTGTCGCCTTTCACTTTGTTTTGTTTTCTTCCCTTTTTTAGCTTTTTATGATTTAGTCAAAACTGACATAGCAGCAGCCAAGACTTAAACTAGGGCAGCTGGTTTAAAACTGTTTTCTGTCAGACCATTTCTATGGAATGTTAGGATAAGAAGACTAGCTTCGTTGAACCAGTAGCCATTTAATAACTAAGCTTTAAAATGGAGCAAGTTCATACCTCTGCTTGTGCTGTTTTAATTTCTCTAGGTAAAGGCTAGATAATATTGGCAGTTTTTAATGCTGAAACTATTTTCACAACTGACAGGCCTAGAAACTTTTTAAAAACGGGGATAGACTCTAATAATGACACCCTGGGGTTCCATGTTTAATGTGGTTTCAGTGATTTTCACATCATGTGTGCTTGGCTTACAAGAAAAAAGAAGTCTTTCCTAACTCTCATCCCTGACAGTTTATCCTAGGATCTGAGAGTCATGCTGGGTTATTCCTTCCACACGTAATTGCTAGTAATAAAGTTTATTTGGGCTGAATCAGGCCCTCAGGGTTGCACAGGTGTCACAATCAGCCCTCAGTGGGTTTGCTCATGTACAACTCACCAGAACTAAAGTTAACAATTCTGCTGATGAATGAAAGAATAGAATCCAGCTGAGTCTTAGCAGGGCTGAGAGAAGTAAAAACTAGTAACAATTTAACTTGTATTACTTAAAATTAGTCGATATAACTCTGAATATGCCAAGAGAGCTGATTTCTTGAGTAAGAAGGTGCTATATTTGTAGTCACTTTTCAGAATAGAACTGCATTTCAGATAACTAGATTTTAGAGCAGCGATTTCCAATCTGGAGGGCACAGGGATTTCTGAAGGATCATGTGGGGCTGCCACTCTATATGTTCCTAGCTTTCCTTTCCCACCAGTGGCACCATATAGTGCTGCCACTGCAACATTGCTTTCTGTACCTCTGGTAACAGACAGAACTTCTACAGGGGGCTGTAACAGAATGAAAGGGTTGGGAATCACTGTTTTTGGAGGACCCTATTTTGACAGATTTCCATTGCCCCTAGCTATAGGACACTTCTATTACAGCTTCGCCGCCTTGCAGGAAGTCGGTTATAAAGTATATAAAATTTCCCCTGGCTCTCCTATGATCTCATTTTATGCTTCCAAAATATTCTAGTGATCTATTAATTTCTGGAAATGAAGTTGATAGTAACTCAGTGTATTTTGATGTGGAGGAGGGAACCTTGAGATATAAATGCATACTACATGGGACTATTTAAAGTGCTCTGGTAAATCCAAATCTTGGCATTTGAATGGCTCTCCCATGATAGTTTTTTCTGTCCATGTCCGTCTTTGCTTTCTGTCCTCTAGATGTAATGAGTTCTAGAAGGAAACTATTTTGTTAGTGAACTGGTGAAGCTATCTAATGGATGGGCATTTTAGCATTAGATCAGTGGAGAAAGAATTCCCTCTGTATGCTTTAGGAAGTAACACAAATTCACACTTAATCTACCAAGTGACTTGTGTATTCTACCACTATGATATAAAGTATAAAACAAAGCATAACTATGTGCAGTTTTTACACTCAAGAGATGGTGACGGTTAAGAAATAAAAATTGAAAATTCCTGACTACTTCTTTGCGTTAAAATAGAAAACAAAAAACCCAACAAGCCTGTATGGAGGTTTCTTAAAAAGGCATGCTTCAATATTTGTCCCCCTTCAAAATAGTTCTAATATTAGTAGCCCAACACTGCAATAAAACCAGCGTGCGCATATAGTGGAGCAGGATTGGAAATTTGGTTCGCCCTCAATGAATTTTCCTCTCATTTCTAGTACAGTATGAGTGCTTTGGTAAAAGGGATATTTCTAAAAATAAAAGTAGATTGATTTTCTGTGTCTTCAATATTAAGTGCTATCAGATTTGAATACACTTTGCATGTGAAAGGTTGGAAAGCTGCTCATTCATTAGTAGTTGTCTGTCTTGTTTTTACATCTATTTCTTTTTTTTTTTTTAAACAGCTCTTCAAATTTGTCAGCTTCAACAGAACAATGAACCAGTTATCCACCACCATGTCTCGCTGTGCCAAAGATGTCATTGGCTTTGCTATTATGTTTTTCATTATTTTCTTAGCATATGCTCAGCTGGCTTACCTTGTGTTTGGCACTCAAGTTGATGACTTCAGCACTTTCCAAGAGTGTGTGTAAGTATAATAATAAAAAACAGTTCTTCAGTACATCAGCAAATGACCTCAGCTACCTCATCGAAGACAGAAGGTTTTATTATAGCTCCCAGATAAATATAAAAATTCTATAGAGCTGACTGTTTTTGTAGGTATATGGGATTTCTAAAAACTGTAGGTTAAACTTTCTAAAAACTGTTTCAATATACTTTTGTTGAAAAAAAGTCACTCTACAATACAAAATATGACAATTGCATATAATAAATTCAGTCATTTTCCTAAGAACTGCAAGTATGTCCTGACAAAAATTATATTAAACATAAAGACTTCTACTTTTTTTTCTTAACATCTGAAGAGATGGGCAACTCTTTCAAATAGGTGGAAGTCATAGGGTTTTGAGAATTTATCACTGACCGTTTGTTACTTTACGTTGCACTAGTGACATACATTTAGTTACTGAGTGATTGCATAGTACCCTAAAAACTGCAGAACATCCTGATAACTACATGTAACTAATAGTTAAACATTGCTTAATAGACAGTAATTATTCCAAGTTGTACAGCGTAATGGTGATTTTAAAATGTCTTATGTGTAAAGAGAGGTTGGATTTAGTTCAGTTAGGTTCTACTCCACTGTGACTGTGAGGACATTAGTGATGGGCATGAAAATTTAATTTGCACAGCAACTATTATTCAAAAAATATAGTTCCCCTACCACGCTTCCTCTTCCCTCCATCCCACTCGATAATGAAAATGCTTAGCTCAAAATAGAGTGAAATGTCACAAATTGCTGCCAGAATTCAAAAATGTTTTAACAGCTGGACATGTTTTTGTTTTGTTTTTAAAGCTTTACTCAGTTCCGCATCATTTTGGGAGACTTTAACTTTACAGAGATTGAAGAAGCTAACAGAATTTTGGGACCAATTTATTTCACTACTTTTGTGTTCTTTATGTTCTTCATTCTTTTGGTATGTAAGCCTTTGTTTATGGAGGGGGGCAGGTGTCACACTTGAGTTTTCAGTTACTTTTATCTTTACATCTCTCACTCCTATTATTTTTGGGTGACAGTAAGCTTACAACACAACTGGGAACTTAACCTTCAACAGATGCCCATCTCTACACTTTCAAAATAAAGTTGCATTGCATCTCCCTGCCCCCGCCACAGCCCTTCAAATGTTTTCCTGATTCAAGAATATTTTATATCTTCTGAAATCTAACCAGTGACTTGCTATATAAGCTCTTCCCAAGTAGATCAACAGCATTATGGTGAGGAATTACAATACTCCCCCATACATACTGCATCTTTATTTATAAACAGTGCTCATGTTCAGGGGCTGGATGTTACTGTAATCTGAAGAAGGAATTGAAACGTTAGACTACCATTAAGTGAGTCTGTGCAGTACCCGTTATTACTGGACTGAATACGTATCACATTCTTTTAATGAATTCAGGGGTTGGGAGTGAAAGAAAGACACTCATCCCCCACAAATCATTTTTCATTGTTAGATGCAATATTCGTGAGATCAGAACCGTTCACAACCTATTGAAAGTTGCTTTGACTTTGTGGTGCAATTGCTGGTAGTCTGACAGACAAATTTTTGCAAGATCGGAGCAATTTGCAGAGACATTGAAGGCATTAATTTTGATAGTGGTATGTCCATCATGAAAATAAGCTTGTCCAAAAGTCAGTGTCTTTCTGATCTCCTCCTCCAACTGCTGGGTGTGTCCAACAACACTATATATGTTAAAATATTTTAAAACATTTATGCAGCAGTGGTACACTTTCTTGAATAAGATGTAGAGAAAAGATGGGACCTAACTTGTTTTGACTGGGGTGTTAATGATTTTAGAGCTAATTGGGGCTCCCTTGTAGCAACCTAGCCCCTAGAAGGAAAATCTACAAAGCTTTGTGGAGAGAGAGCAAAGGTAAAAATTTTCATAGGATTTAGGAGCCAAAGTCACCTTGATTTTTTTCTTTAAGTGAAACTTAAGCTGCTAAATGCCAAAGTCACTTTGAAAATGGGACTTAAGTGATTTAGGGACTTCAGCGGTTTTGAAAATTCTATTCCAGATTTTAAAAAAAACCAATCTTTTAATATGAGTAGTAACTTTCCCTTGGCATGCTTCATCCACAGACCAATCACATTGGGTGATGAGAGCAATTTCAAAGCCACTCCCACTACCTTTATATATTTTTCCATTCATTAGATACTGTTATTAATGCTTTCAAATACCATCACTAAGGTTGCTATTTAGTCACGGATTCCGTGACTTCCAAAGCCCTCCGTGACTTCAGCTAGCCTCAGCTGGGAGCTTCAGGGTCCCCTGCCACCAGCGGCAGGGGGGACCCCCGCTGCTCCTGGCCACCGTGGGCAGTGGGGGGATCCCTGTGGATGGCCATGGGGACCCCTAGAGCTCCCGGCTGCCACTGGTGGCAGGGGGGGACCCCCGGAGCTCCAAACTTCGGAGCCGCAAGCGGAGGGGGACCCTGGAACTCCCAGCCCACCCGCAACTGCCCAGGCTCCTCATTTTATCATGGATATTTTTAGTAAAAGTCA